GGCGGGGCGAGGCGGGGCGATGCTGTGGTGGACCGCGGCCGAGCTCGGTGGGGGCAAGGAGGGGGGGATGAGTTGTTGAAGTAGGAGGAGTCCGAACAAACAAACGGACCTTCCTTTCAGGCAGTTGACGGACTGTCCGCGTGTCAGACCCCGCCGCTCTCCGCTGCGCTCACGGCCTACACGACGGCCCGCACCGCGCCGCACCTGACGACGAGGACGTGCTCGCGACTCCGAGTCCACGCCGCCGCCGCCGCGCCGCCGCGCCGCCGCGACCTCGACCCGCAGGCATCAGCGAGAGGACCTCGTCGTGGACCCCATCCGCGCCCGGGCGGGTGACCTGCCTTGAGTGAATTAACTCGTGCGAGGTCCCCGTCGTCAGCCTCCTCGTCGCGGTGCTGTGGCGCCCCCACGTGGCCGCGGGCCTGACCTTCCCCGCCCCCACGGCCGCCGCACGCGGGGTTGAAGTGCCCCGCCGCAGTGTGATTGTGCCGAGTGATTAGCTTCTCTGTTATTTCTCGTGTGTGGTGGTGTTGCGCCTGCTGTGAGCGCGCCCGGGGCCTCTGGTGCACCTTAAATGGAGCGGCTAATAACGTGTTGGATAACGTGACGCCGCCGCATCCCCTCCGGAGGTGAGTACGCCCGTGGAACGGAACCCAATTAAAAGTGTTTAATTTGTAAATGTTTGCCGCGAAATTTTTACTTTAGTGTACTTGTACCGGGTGTAACTGTGAATACGCAGCAGTGTTGCCGGATTTCATACCCAATATGGCTCTAGGGGCCATGGCCTCTTACGGGTGTAAAGAGTAGACAAACCCGCAATACTGCTGCGTATTCACAGTTACACCCGGTATACGTCTTTGTCATCCATGTACATAGCAGTAGCTCTCAGTAGCTGCCCGAGTGTCACACACTTACACTTCTTGTAGGTGTGTGACATTCGCACAAGTGTGTGAATTTCAACGAAAAATTCATACCTTTACTACATTAAGTGTACGCATTCGGTATTCACACACCCACAAGTGTACGAGATTCGCGCTTTTGCGATTCCGATGTGTATTTGCATTGCACACAACCATAGGCTCAATAACCCGTGCTCTGTATATAATGATTGTGACGGCCGCCTCCACGTGTGTGATTTTTGACAGAGTAGACGGAAGCCGGGCCGGTTCTATCGCGATCGAGTAATCGAGTAGCAGCGACGTTGCTGTAATACGCCCGTCGCGTCGCGTCAAAAACAGACAAACAGCGGCACTCCACCCTGCGATACTGCGGTGTGTGACAGTTGTGTGCTGTCAGTTATTTCCTTGAGCATAGAAACGAATCTAATTAGCATCTTAGAACATGTTGTTGTTGTTGTTGTTGTTGTTGTTGTTGTTGTTGTTGTTGTTGTTAGGCGTGGGCGTCCGTTTTTTTCTCTCTCGGATTTATTCGGCAGTAAATTACGAGACCTCGGCGCCTGCGAAACCCAGGGTAGGCCACCCGGGAGTACACGCGTGCACTGCGGGCGAGATGTTGCCTATCCATCAGGCGCTATGAGAGCTTGTGGAACGGCTGAATGTGCACGAGTCTAACTGACAAGTGCTGATCTAATGCTTATCCAAGTGCAAATGGCGTCCACAAATTGCGCATTGTTTGCTCAATCAAGTTGAGAGATATACTATATCTGTAAGCGACATATTTCTGTGGTTGATTCTGGCTTCGATTGAAAAACAAACCTGTGAGATTATTTAAAAACCTTATTGTTCTTGACGGGTGCGAAACCACAGTACTTTCTTTAAACAACGGCATCTGGAGAACATTTCTAAGATAATGTTGAAGCAAAACTGTGGAATAGTGGGTGCCTACCTACACAGAAGACAGTGCGAACAATTGCATACGCACCGGCTGCCAGCGCCCGGCGCGCAGGCAACTTTTCGCACTGTACTGTGTGTAGGTGGAAACCCAGTATAAGCCTCTATTTTTCGAATAAATAATATGCTTAGCGCGTCGCCAAAGGCAAATGTGTTTGTTCTTACAGAAAAATTGTGCATGGGCAGAAGGCCAATTCTGACAGATAGCAAGAGTTGCTTTACTTTTGATACAACGAGCTCAAAGTGTATTTGATGAACGGATTCCTGTTTGGACTTCCACAAAGTCATGAATATTTTTCCCTTGGGCCAATGCAAAATAACTTATTTCAAGAGCTGATTTTTTCTGGGTGCCAAAAGGGGGAGGGGGGGCTGACCCCTTAAAACCGCTCTTGTGATCAATAAACAATGTTTATTGAGTTCTTTTAGAGCTAACTAAAGGAATCCCTTACATGGGTAGTCAAAAGTCCTAGTATTTGACAAAAGAGTTCGTTGACCACCTCTACGAGTACATAGTAGAGCTCGTTGTATTGAGCAAACATTACAAACCGAAAGATCGTCGATGAATCGTATTATAGGGCTCATTTGTGGAAACTAAAGCCCACAAAGGCCCCGTTAGGTGAAGCCTATGATCGCAATTTAACTCTCTTAGCGACATTGTTTGCGTTTCATGAACGGCGAATTTGCTGACACAACTATTCTTTCATATTCACATTTCATCATTTCTTTCCATTATAATCTTCAGCATCAGCCACTCCTATCAACCCATCATGCATGACTTAGATCAACTAATGACTTTTCGCCCGCGTGTGCACTCCCAGTTGAACAAGCAAATTGTGCCTCACAGTTGCATCCGGGTTCGCACCCATAGTTGCACCGGCAAAAAGCACCTCCGGTTGCGCAGCGCGTCCGCTCAGCTCGCCGCCGACCGCCTTTGATGCTGATGAGCCTGCTTGCAGTCCCGTTGGCGGCCGAGCAGAACCGTGAGCGCGGCTGAGCGCGCGGGTGGTGACCACCGCGACCAAGAGCGCCGACCCCGGGGGAACTAAATGTCAAGGCATAAATCAACAACATTTATCTCGTCTGCTATCAGCGATATAAATGATGAAAAGAAAAAGTAGTCCAAGTGTCTGCCGTCGTCCAGCTCGTTCCTGGCGGCGACTACCCCCCTACCCTCCGCCCCCCACTCCGCTCCGCACCTCGCCATTCGCTCGTGGGACCGCGTGGGGAAATTCCCCATCTCGCTCTCTCGCACTTTCTTCGTTTTCTTTTTAAGTTGTTTTTATTAAAACATACTATCCCGAAAGAATGTTGTGGGTCGCGCGCCGCCGTGGCCAGACGGCGTGAAGGCAGCCGGCGAGCACGTGACGGAGGGGACTTGGACCCCACCGCCGGCCCGGCCCGCCCCGCCCCGCCGCAGCTAATCGAGCCACGCATGGCTCATCCAAAGTTACGCTATTGGTTTGCGCAGGACACGCGCCCCCCC